CCCAGAACTGCAGCCAGGACTTGCAAGTGAATTGGTTGGCTCTGTTTTTCCAGGCCTCACACCGGGCTCCCTGCCATCAGGGAGGTTCAGAGTTCATGACTCACCTCACTGCCTGCCTCGGCTGGCTCCACACAGCGCACCTTGGGCCTGGGTATCATCTGACCTTTTAATGATTTCTAATTCAGCACACTTTAAAGCAGTTTTGTCTCTGGGTTACTATTATTGGTTTGAGCCCTTTGTGAATAATCTGCCAGCATTAAATATCTTTTTTTCTTTCACTTCCAAATGACTGGGGTGAAGGCCCAGGGTCTGGTGGTAGCAATGGCTCTGAGCTTAGCTGGGTGTCACTGTCTGGAGCGCTCCTTGGCTAGCCTCAGGTTACAAAACCACAGCTTGTGCTGGAGAAAAATAACTAACCTACTAAGACAACCCTCAGAGAAGCAGCTAGAAGGAGAGAGCCACCAGGTAGAGATTCTAAAATCAGATGGCTTTGACTTGCCTGGCCCATGCCTCTAGCCACTCCTTCCTGCGGGGAGAAGGAAATGGATAGGGTGGGGCTTTACTCTGTGAGGTCCTTCACTCCCCTCAGAGGACACAGCCCCAAAAATTTCAGCTTCCCTTTGAGTGATTTAGAAGGAGTCAATGCAGAAAGCTTATCATTAAACTTGAAGCCTCACCCACCTCTAGAATAGCTTGAGGTCAGCTCACTGCCTTCTGAAGCAGGCTTTTGAATCTTCCCAGCTCCCTCTCTCATCAGGATGACCATAAGTTTGGAGGGGAGAGAAGTTGAAGATTATTCTTATTAAAGAGGAAGATGTTAAGGGTTGAAATGTGTCCCCGTCCAGCTTCGCCCTCGTTCCCCCCAGCTCCACTCCTGAGCCAGATTCATATATTGAAGTCCAAGCCTCAGCTCCTCAGAATGTGACCTGATTTAGAAAAGAGTCATTGCCGATGTGATTGGCTAAGATGGGGTCATCTTGGAGTGGGGTGGGCCCCGAATCCAACTGGGCTGTGTCCTTAGAAAAGGGGAAATTGGGACACAGACACAGGGAGAGCACCATTGTGAAGACAAAGGCAGAGACGGGAGTGATGTTCTCCCAAGCAAGGAACGTCACAGATGGCCAGCAAACCCACAGAGCCGGGGGAGAGGCCTGGACAGAATCCCCGAAAGAGCCTCGGAAGGTGCCAACCCTACCGACACCTTGATCTCAGCCGTCCAGCCTCCAGACGGTAAGACAATCACTGTCTGCTGTTCATACCGCACAGTCTGTAGTGCGTTGTTCCAGTATCCCTAAAAGTCTAATGTAGAAAGTAAGTCTGATGAGAGATCAGGCCAGTCAGAACACAGAGCCCCCCAAGCCCCGCTCTCCACCCCCAGAGAGTAACAGTGAGGGCCCTGTTTCTCACAAACCCTAACCACATGTGGGCTATTGATGAACTCTGAGGATTCTCTCTCATCATGCCCCCTCTGTGGCAGAGTGAGGCAATCCCGGTGTCTGGGTGGATCTTTAAGAGCTAATGGACTAGTGTAAAGGGCTGTGGGCCAGCTAAGGTTTTTGTTGTTGTTGTTTGAAATGAAGTCTCACTCTGTCACCCAGGCTGAAGTGCAGTGGCATGATCTCAGCTCACTGCAACCTCCGCCTCCCAGGTTCAAGTAATTCTTCAGCCTTCACCTCCTGAGTACTGGGATTACATGCACTCATCACCACACCCAGCTAATTTTTGTGTTTTTAATAGAGGCAGGGTTTTGCCCTGTTGGCCAGGCTGGTCTCAAACTCCTGACCTCAGTTGATCTGCCTGCCTCAGCCTCCCAAAGTGCTGGGATTACAGGCATGAGCCACCGTGCCTGGCCCCGAGCTAAGGTTTTGCTACTTGCTGTTCAGCTCCATGGCTGTCTTCCTGGACCTTGCACACTGAGCAGATCATAGGTACGCACTTCTCTCCAGGACATCCCTAAAAGCACACACCCCACAGAAATTCTCTATCTCTGCCACCTGTAAATCCCTTCCAGCTGACATACTCCTGTCTATTCACACCTTCTCTCTGAGAAGCTGGAGTTCCCCTACATTCCGGAAGATGTATACCCACAGGTTATTTAAATCAACAACCTTGCCAACTCTGCTGGCTTCTCACTGAGCTCTTTACCTCCTCAAAGAGACTGGACTAGGAAATTCACATCTCCCACCACTGGGAATCAGTCAGTTGAGTAGGGCCTCGAGTCCAATAAAAACTGGCTTGCTCAGAATGGGTGGTATTGGAAACTATGGAAAAACAGAATTCTAAAGTTCGGGGTGCAATTTTTCTCTAACCCCAAAGCCCAGCCTCTCTGCTTATTCAGTGTGTGTCAGAGAGTCAGCTGCTTCTGTGAGACTGTTTTTGTCATCCGTGAAACGGGACTGAAACAATCACTGAGAATCATGAAGGTGCCATGAGACAGTGGCAACAGCTAACACTCACTGGACACCTTTTATTGTCACAGCCACCCTCCGAGCTCAGTACTTCCATTCTCTGTTTTATCCAGAGGAAGCCGCGTTGTGCAGAGCTTGGTCACTCGCCCACATTTGCATGACGAAGTGCTGGATCTAGGTTTCCAGCCCAAGCCCTGGCTCCAGAGTCCTCACCTCACCCCTCTGCATAAAATGAGTTCAGTACCTGCACCCGGTAGGCACCCATAATTGGTGACATTCATTTTAGTGGCATCCTTAGACCCTGCAATGACCAAAAGAAGGAAAGCCATCTAGTGAAAAAGCTTACATTAAGAAAGCCCTCCAGAGACTGAAGACCACCACTGTCATGGCATCTGACCACTGTGCTGACCAGTCCCGCCAATCCTGGGATCATGAATACTCGGACAGAAACGGAGGCTGCCAAGTCTCACCTAGAGAAGATCTGGGTTGGGCAACAGCTCTGCAGTGGTCTCTCACACTAACATAACTTGAAATGAGCTTCCTCACATTTCTAATGAAATAGCTAACATTCCTGCTGACACAGATTAGTCCTTTGCTGCTACTTCCATTTGTTAGACAAATGTATTGAGCTTTGGGCCAAGGTGGGAAGATTTTGGTTGTCAAAAACAAATAGTAGGCCAGGCACGGTGGCCCATGCTTATAATCCCAACACTTGGGAGGCCAAGGCAGGAGAATCACTTGAGCCCAGCAGTTTGAGACCAGCCTAGGCTACATAATAAGATCTCATCTCTGCAAAAAATAACAACAACAAAAAAAAATTAGTCTGACACAGTGGAGTGTACCTGTAGTCCCAGCTACTCAGGAGGCTGAGGCAGGAGGATCATTTGAGCCCAGGAATTTGAGGCTTCAATGAGCTATGATCACATCACTGCACTCCAGCCTGGGAGGAAAAAGACCCCACTGCAAAAAAAAATCACCACACACACACATAGACACACAAATAGTAATAAGAGCTGACACTTGTAAGCCATTCAAAATGTGCTGGCCTTTTAAGTATCAAACACCTCTGCAAGGGAGATATTTTATCTATATCATATATATGGACAGGGGCACACAGTGAGGTAACTGAGCCGAGAAGATGAGACGGTCCCTGACTCACTGACCTGCACTCACTGCCAGGCTTTCCTTCTGTGAGAGGCTCTCTTTGAGGAGCCCGTAACAGAGTCAGCGTGTCTCTGAGGAATTTCCTGTGTGGTCAAGGGAAAAAGAAGCCCCAGGATCTCCTCCCTCTGGGCCTGTTCCCAATCTCAGATCTCCTTAGGAAGCCACCAGCAGCCAGGGTGGAGCCTGAGGCCAGGAAGCAAACCCCAAGGTTCTGCTCTGGGGTGAAGGGAAAACAAATTATGTTTTCCTCGCTCTCTGAAGAGCTGACTTAGGCTTAAGCAACAGATAATAGGATGTAAACTTAAGAGTAAGCCTCTACAGTCATTACTGGGACATCTTTGAGTGTTGTAGGACTTGGGCCTACCAGAGGCCTCAGAAAAGGGTCCATATGCCCTGCCTGCTTGACCAGCAACTGTATTACCCATTCAGGGCAAAGCCTGTGGAAATAGACAGCATTTACCAGTCTCCGTGGTCTCTGTAGAGAACTCTCTGGGGAATTTCAAAGACCTTTGGAAAACTGCTTTGTTCTTCCATGTGAAAGAAGATGTCCTCTGTCTAACATCTACTAGAAAAATGTTTTTTTGATCAATTAATGTTGAAATCTTATGTGATAATTGTAAACTTACAGTAATACTTCACCAACCCTAATATTACTTAAAGTATTTCTTTTTTTTTTTTTTTTCAGACAGAGTTTCACTCTTGTCACCCAGGCTGGAGTGCAGTGGCACGATCTCAGCTCACTATAACCTCCGCCTCCCAGGTTCAATTGATTCTCCTGCCTCAGCCTCCCGAGTAGCTGGGATTACAGGCACCCACCACAACTCCCAGCGAATTTTTGTATTTTCAGTAGAGATGGGGTTTTGCCATGTTGGCAAGGCTGGTGTCAAACTCCTGACCTCAGGTGATCCACCCACCTCGGCCTCCCAAAGTGCTGGGATTACAGGCATGAGCCATCACACCAGGCCTACTTAAAATATTTATTTTAACTTATTCTAGAGACCGGCTTATATACCAAATGTTATTACAACCTCAGGCATATATTCTCTGAAATGTCAGGTAGCCTCAGATGTGAATCATGCAGTTTAGTAAAAGCAATCATTGATCAGTCTTCACTTTTTTAATGAAAAGTGTTGCTCCCATATTCATATTCATTAGTTTCACATGTGAACCATAGCTATGACATGAAATTTTAAATTCTGAGTTTTTATCATTTGAGTAATAGCAAAGCTGCTGAGTTTTTAAAGGTTGATTCATTTTAAATTACTTAATTTTAACTGTCAGGATCTCTTCTTTCTCTAGACAAGTTCGGGGACCATCCATTCATTTGACAGCCAATTTCATATACCTTCTGTAGGTCAGGTACTTTGTTGTGGTAAGTGACATTTATGTTAATGTCCCTGAAATACTATAAAAATTTGAAATACCTTCTCAAGGAAAAACAAAATTATTTTCATTTCTGTTTTACTATATTTCCATTGAGTATTGTTATTGTATACATGATATCACGGTATTAATTCATATATTATCAGGATATGTAATTAACTGAAATACAATGTTCACCAATCATGTGTAGAAAGAAGTCCATTCATAGAATGTTCCAGCAATAATGCTTGTTATTGATCTTTCTTCTGTTAGATAGTTAATAAGTGAGTCAACCTAGAATAAACGAATCCAATGGCAAAAGTTTGCACACCCTGCCAGTTAATCATCTGAAAAGCCACAACTCACTTTTTTACAAGCTGACCATCTGTGGTGTTCAGTTTCTCTATGACTTGGCCAGTTAAGTCATGCCTGCCAAATTTCTCTCGTATTTCCTTGTACTGGAGGAATCCTTCAGCCATGGTAATACCCAGGTCTTGATTGTGTTTACAAGTTTCTAAGGGTGCTGTTTTGCTTTTCTGTTTTGTTGCTATTAAATGGTTCTAAGATACTAAATAAAGTAAATAGAAACTCAACAGCTATTGCTGTGGGGTCAGTGACAAGTAATGTAAACAATTACTTTGTTTACTTGGAATCTGACTTTAACATTTAAAATATATAAACTCTGGCCAAAAAGAAGGAAAATTATTTCACAGTATATTCTTGTGAAAGTATGATGCCATTAATTTTGAATTTACCAAATGAAATAAGGAGGTTTAATCGGCTTTAGTTAAGAAGCTGTAGTAGTAGAAGCTTTTGGTGGATTTGCTTTTCATGTATAGGATCAGAGTGACAGACCCCTTCTAAGGAACCAGATCTCCCAGGGTGGCATATCCAGGGACCCCCCCGCACCATATCCCCCACTTCCACACGTTTATACTGTGTGGCCTTTCCCCATCGGCCATGGCCTCCCTAGCATCCGGATCCTGTGTCATCCCCTGAGGCTGCAAAGTGGCACCTGCCTCCAGCGCTGAGGGGAGCGAGAGAGCAAGGCCCCTGCCTGCCCCCCAAATATGGAGGCTCCAGTCCAGGCCCCACCTAAAGCCATTGGATGCTATTGACATAGAGATGACCCTAAATGTGCTGCAGGCCATGTGGGTCTCCCTGCTTGGGTGACATTGGCCTGTCAGACCAAAAGCAAATAAGATCTGTTTCTACACTGACTGCTCACAATGTACTAAGCACTGTATGTCGTGGCGTGGCCTTACACAGCCACACCGTTATTCCCAACCTACAGATGTAGAAACAGAAACTTAGGTGAATTAGCTGCACGGGATGAACCTGTGCAGGAGGTGTTCTGAACCATTGCACAACACTGCCTCCGTCTCAGAAACCTTAGGGACCGGTGACCTGCTTCTCACTTATAAACCAGTGACATTGTGAAGGGGAGTGTGGAAGAGTGGACACAGTGCTGAGTGAGTTACCAGGGGGCTTCTCGCCTGCACCGTCGGCACCTACACTAAGACTTCGGACCCGCCTCCATATCCGCATCCTTAAGTGAGAAAGGAGGACTCGGCGGGCCCGTTGTTCCTGCCAGCTCCACCTTTCTATCAGCAGGCATGTGAATGCCCACACAGCAGTCAGAACAGCTGGTACCTTAACTGAAATGAAAGCGAACTTCCACTTGACCTGCTGAGAAAAAAGATCTCAAGTAATAGCTGACATCCTGAGTGTGTTCACTTAGAATATCTCACCCAACTTCTGCGTCCCCAACAATCCTGGGGGTGGAGGTCCCGACCCTCACATCAAGAGGAACTCCTGAGGCGCTTGGATGCAGTCATGCCCCCAGGAGGAGCTGGGTTCAAATGCAGACCCACGCCCCCCCCGCCTCCACAGCCCAAGCTCATGCCATGATACCCTGAATGTTTTCCACTCAAGCTGTATTTTGCTGGCTGCTAATATGCTTGTCGCTTGACAGTTACTAGTTCAACCTGAAAAATCACAGTCTCAACAACATGAGAAACTAATATCCAAGTTAGAAACCACAGAGTCCTATTAAACTTCTTCTCCTAGTTGGGGCCTGAGTCCCTAAATATGTCCCCACTCCACCTCATCTTCTCCATATCCTTTTTACATTCTTTGCTCGTGGCCCTTCTCAGTCTCTGATAGTCATCCTTTACCAGACTGTCTCCACAGCCTCCTAACTGGTCTTCCTGCTTACAGTCAGTCCTGCCCTCATGTGACCCACTCTCTTCGTCTCTGGAAAACCTAAGAAGGATCATATTATTATTCTGCTTATCACCCTCCAGGGGTTCCCCCAGGCCTTAAAGATCAAATCACGAGTCCTATCTATACATGGCCCACATGTACAGGCCATGAGGACATTTGTCCAAGCCCCCTCGAAGCTACAATACCTTACAAATATCTGCAAAAATGCCTCACAGGATAAATGGTTCACTCACCTTGCCCACAGCAAGCAAGATCCAAAGTTATTTAGCACAGGCCTTCCCTGCTTGCTTTACAATCTTTGGCATATTTTCCATACCATTAAGCAAGCTTCCACATTTAAATAAAAGTTAAAGATATCCTCCCTTTTAACGCCCTAATTATAAAAACTGAAATTTTCGTTTTCATTACCTATTTTAAAAAGGCAAGGAGAAAAGCAAACACATATGTTTTACCTGTAATTTCCAAAATGTTTGCAGCAACTCCTTAGTTGCATCCAGAATATCTTAATGAAGAGAGCTGGAGTTTGGAAGAGTGAAGAGGCTGATGTCCCTGTGAGCCTGGTGCTCAGATGCTGCCTACGAGTGAAACTTTCTCTATTTGTACTGGACCAAGGGAACGGCGGTGTTTGCCATGTCACCTGGATTATCAGCAGTGACTACAAACACTTCACGGAACTCCCAAACCACACATTGGCAAAGAACAGAACTAGCCTGGAGTCATGAGCGTTATTATGCTTCTCATTCTGTGAAGACCTGCAGACTACAGCAAGCAAGTGAAATAGCAAACAAAATAACCTACTTTGTTCTTGTTTGAACCATTCGATATTTTGTGGCACATTACGAGGCATGGAAACATAGGAGCTTTTTACCTTATTTCGAAGTGGATCGTTTTCACTATTTGTCTGCAGAGGTATGTGTCTGTTTAGTTCTGGAGAAGTAAGTGTTTGTTTAGTTCGACACCGTGAAGTGGAGGTCACGTCCCCATAGGGAGCAGATTGGTTCAGTTCAACAAACATTTGCTCAGTGTCTGCTCTCTTTAGAATATCAACCTGAAACAAAGAAACAAAACAAAACTGATTTCCAAGAATTCTCAAGCCAGTTATCTTTTGTACAGTGACAACCACCAGTAAGCATGTATTCTCTCTACTTTTTATTCATTCTTTCGACAACCACACAAACATTTAGGCCAAGTGCCGCTGGGCACTGCGCAGTGCAGGCAGCCAAGGGAGGCTGGAGCCTGGGAGGGAGATACAGGTATCAAATCAATCCATGTCCTCATTGCCTTAATTTTGGTCACCAGGACCCTGGGTGAAGTCCCAAATTAAAAAAAAAAAAAGTTTTATTGAGGCATAATGGACATACAGTAAGTCCTTACTTAATATTGTTGATAATTTCTTGGTAACTACGACTTCAAGCAAAACAACGTATAACAAAAACACTTTTCCCATAAGTTGATTGATACAAACAAGAGGTCAAGTTCCTGCTGCATATTTTTGGTCACAAAAACATCACCAAAATTCTAAATGAAGACTTCAACACTCCTAATATTAGCCATTGAAATAAATGTGAAATGTATATACATTTAAGAAAGAGTAATAAGAACAAGTAAAATATGCGCCCAATTTCTGATAAATCAGCAGTCACAACGGTTGTAATGGTGGTGGGTTAAATTAAGGAATAAATGTTTGCAAAGCGAAAACTGTCAGGAGCACCTCCTCCCACCTCGCAACCTGAAAAACACCGCAAATATGACGGGTTTCCAAACCACTTTCACTCACATTGTTTATTGTCATGCATTTGTATGATTATCAAGATTTTACAGTTTTTTTTTATAATCAACTATTATTCGTTCATTCATTTTCCAACCCATAACTTTTATTCATTCATTCACTCATTTTCCAAGCCGTAACTTTTTTTCCTTTTGTGCTTTAGGTTCAGGGGTACATGTGCAGATCATGCAGGATTGTTGCATAGGTATATACATGGCAAGGTGGTTTGTTGCCTCCATCCTCCTGTCACCTATATCTGGCATTTCTACCCATGTTATCCCTCCCCAACCTCCCCACCCCCCGCTGTCCTTCCCCTACTCCTGCAACAGACCCCAGTGTGTGATACTCCTCTCCCTGTGCCCATGTGTTCTCATTGTTCAACACCTGCCTATAAGTGAGAACATCAGTGTTTGATTTTCTGTTCTTGTGTCAGTTTTCTGAGAATGATGGTTTCCAGATTCATCCATGTCCCTACAAAGGACACAAACTCATCATTTTTTATGGCTGCATAGTATTCCATGGTGTATATGTGCCACATTTTCCCTGTCCAGTCTATCATCGATGGATAGCAAGCCATAACTTTTATTCATTCATTCATTCATTTTCCAACCCAGTTGTTCCAGTTCAGGGTTGCAGGTAGCTGAGTATATCCTAGCAGCTAAGGGCACAAGGCAGGACCCACCCTTGCACAGAATACCGTCCCAGGCAGGGCACACTCACACACCCACACTCAGGCACTGGGACCATGTAGACACACCACGTCACTTGAGGTGCACAGCTTTGGCTTGTGAGAGAAAACCAGAGGACCCAGAGAAAACCCCCACAGATATGGAGGAAACATACAAAATCCACACAGACAGTGGCCCTGACTGGGAATACATTATTTTTTCCTCAGCAACATTACAACAGAACAGGTCCTTATTAGAGGACCTGCTATACAAGGAACCACAAATATTTACTCTATATAATTTGATGATGTCTTATGCATACACAAAGAAACTATTGTCACAATCAACGTAATAGACATACCCAACACCTCCCAAAGTCTCCTGTGTGTCTTTATTGTTTTGTTTGTTTTTCTGGTAAGAACACTTAACAAGAGATCTACCGTCTTAATAAATTTTAGAGTACAAAATTCCACATTGTTAACTATAGCCACTGTGTTGTACAGCAGATCTCTAGAACATACTCATGTTGTTTAACTGAAACTTGATGCACTTTGAACAGCATCTCCCCATTTCTCCTCCCCTCATCGCCTGGCAATCACCATTCTGCTGTCAGCTTCTATGAGTTTGCCTACTTTAGAAGCTATCATGCAGTATTTTTCCCTCTGTGTCTGGTTTATTTCACTTAACGTAACGTTCTCTAGGTTCATCCATGTTATTGCAAGAGCATGATTTCCTTCTTCTTAAAGGCTGAAAGTAGTCATGTATTTTATAGATAGATAGATAGATGATAGATAGATAGATCACATTTTCTTATTCATTCGTCCATTTGTGGACACTTAGGTTGTTTTCACTTCTTGGCTATCGTGAATAATGCTGCTGTGAACATGGGAATACCGGTATCTCTTTAAGATCCTAATTTCAATTCCTTTGGATATATGCCGTGTAATAGGCTTGCTAGTTCTGTTTTTAATTTCTGTGGGTACACAAGTATATATAGGATACATGAGATGTTTTGTATTTTTAATTATCTGAGGAATCTCTGCACTATTTTCTACAGCTGCTGTACCATTTTACATTCCCACCAACAGTATACAAGGATTCTAGTCTCCCCACATCCCCACCAACACTTGCTGTCTTCTGGTTTTTTTGTTTGTGTGTGTGTGTTTTGTTTTTTCTTTTGAGATGGAGTTTCACTCTTGTTGCCCAAGCTGGAGTCCAGTGGCACAATCTCAGCTCACTGCAACCTCCATCTCCCAGGGTTCAAGCGATTCTCCTGCCTCAGCCTCCATAGTAGCTAGGATTACAGGGGCCTGCCACCATGCCCAGCTAATTTTTTGAATTTTTTGTATTTTTAGTAGAGATGGGGTTCACTGTCTTGGCCAGGCTGGTCTAGAACTCCTGATCTCAGGCAATCCACCCACCTCTACCTCCCAAAGTGTTGGGATTACAGGAGTGAGGCACAGTGCTCAGCTCCTGTTTTGTTTTGTTTTTTTATAGCCATCCCAGCACGAGTGATGACATCTCATTGTGGTTTCGATTTGCATTTCTTTGAGGATCAGTGATGTTGAGCATCTTTCAGTGTACCTGTTGGCCATCCGTATGTCTTCTTTTAAGAAATGTCTGCTCGAATCCTTTTTTAAATCAAGGTATTTGGTTTTAGGCTATTGAACTGTGGTCTCATATTGATTTTAATGTTTAGAGCCAAAGTGCAATCTGCTTGGTTTCCTCCTCAATGCAGAAAATACCCTCTTTGTGAAGTGGAACACACAAACAGTAAATTTCCTTCAAATATGATCTTAGAACGTCAACTATGGAGAAGAAGAAATTCTCCAGGAACCCCTGCCTTTTAAAACACCTACTGATTCTTGACACATCAAGCAGCAGGGGGCAGGATGGTGCAGTGGGAAAATGTATGTCTGGCCAGCTGGAAATCTGAGTCTGATCCCATTCTAGCTGGAAGGTCTTTTCACCTCACGTGGCTATGGTTAACTTACTTGCAAAGCAAGGAGCTGGACTGGATGGGCTTTCCTGCATCTAGCATTTTCTTTCACTCCATATTTTTGTGTACCCTTGAGGTCAGGAGTTCGAGATCAGCCTGGCCAACATGGTGAACTCAGTCTCTACCAACACTGTACAAAAATTAACCAGGCATGGTGGCATGCACCATACCAGATACTGTGTTAGGTGCCAAAAAAGGAAAGCTCACTAACCTGTTTAAGGCTACGGAAAGAACTACCAAAACTACGTATGAGAATTCTGTTCTAAGAGTTAACCTCAGTATGAAGTGCCAACAGACAGTGAATGAACGAATATGCTATCCAGGACTACAGTGAAGTTTCCGTATCCCTAAGAGCCACTTCACTCTCAAATATGATCAAAGGCTGCCCAAGTGCCTGGATTTCACATTGGGTAGTAGAAGGTTGAGCAGCAAGATTAATATATTTTAACCGCTCCAGCTTCATTTGGAACCTTCCCACATGCAGCCCCAACTCAAAGCCACAAAGATAGCACTATCAAAAGTAATCATCCTTTCTCCCCACAACTTCTGCAACTTCAATTTTTCCACTTTGCTTCGGTGGCTCTGCTTTGCTCCCAGGTTTCCCAACCAAGTAACCTTTGAGTCACACCCAACTCCTCTCTCCCCTTTCCTTCCTGAATTTAATAAGCTACCAACAAGTCTGCCCCGACCCACTCCAACAAAAGCCTTCCTTCGGCAACCACAGTGCAGACCTCTATTGTTACAGCTGCCTGTCCCCCGGGGAATTCCAGCTGCAGGCGTTCCTTGGAGCCCCCGTGGAAAACTGGAAAGGAACTATTGAAGCCTTTCACTGCCTGTTTTCCCAACTCCCATGGCCACGGAGGGAGGGGGGAGGGAACCCACGGGCAAGTGCTTCCTACCAGTTCAGTGCCGCCAGGAACCGGGGCTTTCCCACAAGGCCGGGCCAGGTTCTAGGCAGAGAAGCGTCTGCATTCCGAGGCGCAGTCTGGGCTGGAGCCTGTCACCACCCTTCAAATCCCTTTGAAGCTGGGCAAAAATCCTGCCAACGCCAAGCTTGAGAGCTCCTCCGCTTAACCTGGGAGGGGCTGTTTCCTGCCTGCCTTTCACAGCCTCTCACAGAAGGGAGGTGCAGCCTTAATCATTCTACAGGATTCTCACTTTAGACACCAAAATCTAAAAACGCAAGAAAAATAAGCTTTATATGAAATAACACATCAGATTGACCAAGACTTATTTAATGCTGAAAATTTATTCTACAAACTCAGAGACCAATTATCATAATATATATATATACACACATATATATACCTATATACACTTATATATACATATAAACTATTTAAACACCAGTTTCCCTTAAAGTCATGTTAAACATTCTCAGTTTCTTAAATTTCAGACTCTTCCCCACCTTCACTGTCCTTCTCTGAACACAGTCTAGGTTATTAATTTCTCTTGAAATATTATACCCAAGAGGAAATGCAGGATCCCCGATGGCACCTTACAGGTGAGGTTTTTGTCCCCATGTTGCAGCATTTTCATATATTGACCAGGGATAAAATCCTTACTTCTTTTTCATATGTACTGCTCCCAAGTCAGAGTTTTCTGTTCTGGACTAAGGGAATTGGGTTTAAAAGCTTTTGTTTGTGTTTTTGTTTTTGAGGAGAATCAGAGAACATTAGAATGAACGAGTCTTTAGAAATTGCTGGTACATGTTTTCAAGTCATGGGTTATTCAGCTCATTCATGGGCCATGAAATCAATTTAAGTAGGTCACTGTTATGGGCTGAATGCTTGTATCCCCCAACTTCCAAATTCATATATTGAGGTCCCAGTCCCCAATATGATGGCATTAAAACGTCGGGTCTTTGGGAGGTGATTGAGTTAGTGCCCCAGAGAGCTCCCTTGCCTCTTCTACCATGAAAGGACTGAGTGAGAAAGTGCTATATTTGACCCAGGAAGCAGACCCTCACCAGACACTAAATCTGCTGGTGTCTTGATCTTGGATTTCCCAACCTCAGGAGCTGTGAGAAATAGATATTTGTTGTTTAAGCCACCCAGTCTATGGTATGTTTGTTATATCAGCCTGAATGGACTAAGACAGTTACCCCCAGCTCTTTCTTTAAAAACTAATAAAATACAGTAGAAAGTATCAGAGTGCATTGCACATATGAAAGATGAGGATTATTACGTAAAACTTTTGTTTCAAACTGAGATACACAAGTATAGATTGTGTGTGTATAGATTATGATCATAATTAAGTTTTGGTCAAAAAACTTAAAAACCACTGATCCAGTTCAACCAGGAAAGGCAGTGTTCTATAATGGATAAGAATTTGTTTGAAATTTGGAGTCAGAAAATCCCTGGTTTCTCGTCTTGGATCTGACCCTTAAGAACTACATGACCCCAGGAAGTTATTTTGCTTCACTGAAACTCAGATCAGTTCCTCATCAATAAAACTGGATAGCAACAGCACTTTCCTCAAAGAGTCATTGAGGAGAAACACAATATTACTCACTTCCTTTTACTGAGCACATGCCATGTGCCAGGAAACATGATGTGTCTTCACATGCACTATGTTTCTGACCTTCACCACGACAATCCTCTGCATTGTCATCCATCAAATGAAGGAACTGAGGCAGTCTGGTCCACATGTATGTACTTAGCCATTCCACTACACTGGCTGTAAGTACACCATGTCTCTACAAATGCAAAGATGCCTTTGAAGTACTTAACACAATCCACTACACTGGCTCTAAGTTCATCATGTCTCTACAAAAACAAAGATGCACTTGAAGTACTTAACATAATCAGTGCTAAGTACTTAGTATGGACACAAAGGAGCCTTCAAAATTTAGCACCACTCAAAGGGCAGACCTTCTGCAAGTTGAGGAGTTCAAGCCAGAATGTAGATTGCTGCCCTGCTTTCTTCGGGAAAGTTTTGCTTATTTGGCTGTACTAAACAATGTGATGAAGTTTGTCATGATGTTCACCAGCACTCTAACCAGAGCTCCATATCTTCTGAGAAACGCTGCGTCAGATAATATTGTAATAACCATTACAGGAACCATGATTATTGTTAGTACGGCCTGGGACAGATTCAGGTCTCCTCTCTCACCATCCAAAGCTCTTTTTACCACTCCATTGAAGAAATACCTATGCGCATGCTCCCGCTCACTTCCCCCGGTCAATTTCGTCCTGCTGAAAGTTTTTAGATCGTGTAAATGCACCAACTCTCCCCTCTGACTTTGTGTCACCTGCACACCGGCTGCGTGTGTCTTCTGTGCTTTCACGAAGACGCTGATAGCAGTGTTCATCAAGAGAGCCACGGACAGGTCCGCTTTCCTTACAACAATCCTGTGGCTCCCCTCAGTGGCTGCACACCTCGTCCTTAGTGTGTTTGCCTCTCTTTCCTAAACCCTCACAAACCCTCGCAGACATTGACTTTCCGCAGGGGGATGCGGGAGGAAGCACTAGGAAATGACCCGCTTAGAGGACGCCATCTTGTGGCGCACGCGCATCAGTGCAGCTCGGGACCGCGGAGGGAGAAGGCGCGCCCGGGAGGTCCGGCGCCCCTGCGCAGGCGCCGGGGGGAGCATTGGCGGAGCTCCCTTGATCTGGAAGGCGAATCTTTTTTTTTTTTTCCATAATGTCTCCGGGTAAAATCAGACCGACCGTATTCACTTTGTTCACCACTGTGGATACATACATAAAACACTGCACCTGCTTCATTAATGGTCCAGAAAAAAAAAAACTTTTTTTTTAATGAGCGCGGGTAAAGAGAATTTTTAAAAAGATTTTCTTAACGATTCATCATTCTAAATTTGAAATGGACGTTCCCTTTTCTTCCAGTTACAATCTGGAAATTTTCTTTAAGAATGCCTTCATTTTAAATAGGACGCTAAAATGGAGGCAAAGAGGGGCGGGCGAAGCGGCTTCCTTATCATCTTAAAGGACCCATAGTGATGTCCTGTCACTCGGGCCTGCGTCTCCCACGCCGGGATCTCACCTCCTTCAGGCGGGGCCGTTTGCCTTCTGCAACGATGTAGATTTTTATTCCTTCTAGGATGCAAGATAGCTACAGCCAAGGAGACGTTTCTAGCACACAACCAGGCACAAGTCTTCGATGTGAGTTAAATAGTCATAACTTAAAAATCTGAGTTGCAGTGCAGAAATCAGGTATGTAGATGCAGGGCTTGTCGGTGATAAGGAAGAGAAAAGAGGGAGCTGAAAGATGTGAGAAGCCGCAGTCACTGAAGACACTTAGAACTCATGATCAGAAAGGGCAAGTGTAAGAGAAACAGTAGCGTTGCTAATTAGGTCAGCACACACGCATCAGTGACAGGTTCTAAGAATCAAGAAAACAGTGAGGCCTGAATCCTGCCCAGCAGTGTGCTGTAAGAAGGGCACAATCTGCGGATTTGAAAATGAGTGTCCCTCACACCCTCCTTGGTGCAGTCTCTGAAAGAGGAGCAGGTGGAGGTGAGGTCTGGCAAGACGTCCCTGGGGTTGCTTCCTCTCAGGACAGAGGTCATTTTCTGACAGTTCTCTGTACTATCAATTTATAAATTCCAGAATTGTAGCATCTCAACCCTGCAGTGCCTCTGAAATTTTGATTTATGATTTTAATTCTTTCTTAACCTTGAAACGACCTTAGAGCTGATTTAATAGAGCACCTTAATTGTAAAGATGAGAAAAACACTGGCAGATAAGATGGAGTGTCTTCATACACAGCCCTCCTACTTCTAACACCAATGGCTATGACACTCGGGCTCAGTCTCATCTTGGGGTGAGACTTCTTCAAGGGCCAGATGAATACAGAATAAAGTGTAGAAAACCACAGTTCGTGGGTGAAAGACAGAATGCTTCCACCAGTCAGAGGTCTACTCTTTACTGGAGGAAAGTAACTAAATTTTTTTTTTTTAAGTATAGTCAGTATGTTAGTAATTAGTGAAATGCCTAAAAATTTAATCTCCTACCAAGAAGAACACTTTTATTTAAGCTTTTGTTTCCTTTAGATAACTAAGGCTTAATGAGTGAGGACCCTCTTAGGTCTCTTCCTCATTTCATCTCCTCTTGGCTACATCCATAGTGAGAATCTCATGAAGGGGCTAGACACACGCCTGAATCCTGGTAAGTAACTTCTTCGGGAAACCCAGACACAGGGCAGAAGTTTGAGATCTTTACCCCAAAAGGACTGCTGCTGATCTTGGGAAAGCCGCATTTTTGCATACATTTCTCCAAATATGAGTAGCAAGCTAATTGACTCCAAGGAAGCATGGCTAGTACTTAAATGTCACATTCAAATAAACTCAGGCTAATAAACTCCCTGGATAGATATCAAAATACCTTGCCTTCTTGCTGTCATGTGGACAATAACCATTGTATTTACAACTTATAAAGTGGGAAAGAAGACAAGGAAAATATCACTAAATTCTGAACTTTTAATTCAAGTAACTAAGGAGGGTGGAGCTCAAATTGGCCTTGACCTGAATCTATTATTTTTTTTTAAGAAATAAAGGGAGACACTGCGTTTCGGTCAGGAACAGAATTCTAATCACATAAAACTTGTGCTCAGTCCTTTCCCAGCAACGTGGCAGACTGAGCTGGCATGAGAGGGAGTGGATTGTGGGATGGAGGAGGGACCCCCCCACCCCGACCCAGAAACAAGCAAGTAGAATTGTAGGTCACTTTTTGTTGACTTTGTACTTGAATGTGGAAATCTCTAGGCTCCAGAAATGAAGATGAGACTTGTAATACTATGCAGAAGCTGTTGCCATGTAGATCAACAAGGATTTCAGACTTGGCCTAAAAACTGGGATTTTAATGCCCCGGGGAGGACAGGAGATGAAGGAAGGAGGGAGTTGGAACAGAGTCACTATCCGGATGTGTTGAAGGGCTAGCCAGACTGAAAAGTAAACTTCCAGTCTACAGGTGCTTTGTATTAAAAAGAAAAATAATTACTTGCAAAAAAATCAAAACATCAGACTATACTGTGTATAGATGTGGGTTATACTGCCTACAGGTACCTGAGAATTAAACATAAAGTTTGGCCCAGGACAGCAGAATCGTGAAACCCTGGCAGAAGCAAAC